ACTGGGGTGGGATGGGAATCCCCAATAATCTTATTAGGAATAAGCTGGGTATATAGCATATGTGTGTGCGTATAGGTCCTGAGTTTGATCCCCAGCATCATGAAACAGACAAAAACAGCAAAAAAAGGAAAATAAATCAGCCAGTGAAGTGAAACATGTGTTGCTCATCAACCCTTAGCTGTCCCAGGTGATGTGTCTAGGAAGCTCTAGATTCAATCAGGGATAAAAGGAAACTCAGGACACCCCAAAATGAGCTCAAAAATCTTTGCTTCACAAGACCTTCTTGTGCCTTAACTTTACCAGCATGGCAGTCTAGACTCTATCTCATCCAAATAGCATTCTAACAATTTCACTTCCTACTTGCAAAATATATCTGCTTTCCTCCCATGATGCCTGTTTGGATTAAGGGTCAAATTTCTACTTTGTATCATATTAATCTACTCCCACCAGAGATTTGTCCAGATGAGACTGTTAGACCAATCTTATCTCAAATGCAAATCCACCACTTAATTTTCCAGCTTCCACCTCTTTAGTGGCTACTGTCAGCAAACAAATCCGTATTTCTTAAGTGTGGCCTTTCTGCATGGCACTTTCCAGTTTAGTCTTGTTGGCTGTCTCTGTACTTGACAACCAACTCTCCAGAAACATTGTACTGTTTGTTTGCTGCTACCTGAGCCTATGATGCTGCTTGATAGCTTAAGTCTACTCTCAGCTTTCTGATTCTACACAGATGCTTACTTCTATCCCAGCACATAACAAAGTCTGCAAAAAGCTGCCTCCACAGCTGTGTCCTATACAAGGTGATGAAATCGTGACGGCAGATGCTTTGCTAAACCCAAAGCTTTCATCTTTCTGTCTTTAGGACCTGGTAGAGCATTGAACAAAGTAAGATTCAAAAGTTTCTAGAAGCACATCTAAGTAATGGAGTCTGCCTGGGTTTGGGCTGGGGATATGGAATGGGGAAAATAAGAAAAATTCATAAAGAAGGTCAGGATTAAACAGACTCTTGAAGAAAGGACACTCTGGAAAAGGGTGACAAAGGACATGGCAGACAGAATAGTACTTGCAAAGGCCTGGAGGCCCATGAGGACATGGCATGAAATAAAGTGCAAGTGACCAGGGCAGAGGGCAAGATCAAACTGGAAAATGGAAAAGCAGAGGGATCTACAAAAATGTGGCCTATATGTGGGTCTTAGAAGATAATCCCAAAATATCTATTTAATCAAGGCAATTATGGGAGGTATCAACATTTTCAGGTTGGTTCAAACTACACAGTAGTCTTTTTTTCTCTTTGAGAGTACTGGGATTTGAACTCAAGGCTTCATGTTTGTATGAACTCTACCTCTCGAGCTATACCTCCAGCCCTGTTTTTTTTGTGTGTGTGTGTGTGTGTGTGTGTGTGTGTGTGTGTGTGTGTGTGTGTGTGTGTGTGTGTGTGTGTGTGTGTGTGTGTGTGCGCGCGCGCGCGCGTCTTGGGGCTTGGAGTTTGTGTGTGTGTGTTATGTATGTGTGTGCCAGTCTTGGGGCTTTAACTCGGCGTGAGTGCTGTCCCTGAACATTTTTCCCTTAAGGCTAGTGCTTTACCAATCAGCCTACAGCTCTACTTCTTGTTTTTTGGTGGTTAATTACAAATGAGAATCTCACAAACTTTCTTTCTTGGGCTGGCTCTACAATCAATCCTCAGATCTCAGCCTTTTCAGTAGCTAGGATTATAGGCACAAGCCACTGTACCCTGTTGCTTGATATTTTTGATAAGAGTATTGCTTTGTGCCTGGGCCAGCCTTGGCCATAATCCTCCTATTTACAATTTCCACTGTAGCTGAATCCATATCACCACTAACAGCCAATTCTGTAGAAATGGAGTTTTGCCTTTTTTCTTTGACCAAGCTGACCTAGAACTGAGACCCTTTCATCTCAACCTCCTGAGTAGATGGTATGACAGGCATAACTTTTGAAAAATTATTTTTCATAATATTCATAATGGGCCATTAAAATAGTAATTCACAAGGTTGCTGTAAAAATAAAATGTGTTAGCCTGGTGTTGATGGCTCATGTCTGCAATCCTAGCTACACAAGAGGCTGAGATCTTAGGGTTGTGATTCAAGGTTGTGATTCCTTCCTAGGCAGGAGCCTGTGAGACTCTTATTTCCAATCAACCAGCAAGAAGCCAGAAGGGGAGCTGTGGCTCATGTGGTAGAGTGCCAGCCTTAATGAAAAAACTAAGGGACAGCACCCAGGCCTTAAGTTCAAGCCCTAATATTGGTACAAAAAACTAAGAAACAAATACATGTGCTACTTAGTAGATATAATGTACAAAGTAGTGGTACACAATGACCAATAATGTCTGAGTGTGGAGGGAAGGAGCCATCTTTGAACACCACAGGACACTATTATTTAAGAAAGACATGTCTTAAAAACAGGTTATTATATTGGGAAATATTGTCAGAAATCCTGTGTTTTACATACATGAGTTCAGGTAAGAGTGAAAAATGACTTATTTTGGATATTTTACTTATATTTAGATAATGAACTTAGCTAAAAAGAATAGACTCAAAGTAATATACCCAATTACTTTCTAAATCTGTACTAAAACTCATTTCCAATTTTCTTCCTATTAGATATAGCTTTGATTTTCTGTCATGTACTACTGTCAACTTAGAATTTATTCATTTGAAAAATTTCTGCCCTACTGACTCCTGATTCATTTCTAGATGAAAGTTTATAAATGGAAGAGGCTACCTAGTACACTGGCTTATTATTATTATTTATTTATTTATTTAGGTCAGTTGTTGGACTTGAACTCAGGGCCTGGACACTGCTCTTGAGCTTTTTCACTCAAGGCTAGTGCTCTACCACTTTGAGCCACAGTGCCACTTCCCAGTGGCTTAGTTTTTATGAGCAAAAACCCCCAGAAACACAGAAGTCGAATGACTTCTGTAGGTTATGTAATTTGTGAGGGCTACTTGTTTTTCTTCAAACTGCTGTCACATATACTCTCTCCCAAGTCCCTGGTTCTTTAATGTAAACTGCCTGCTGACTCCGTTTATTTTGGCCATTTTCTTTTTTCTTTTTTTGGGAGGGGAGGAGGCAGTACTGAACTCAAGGGCTTGGCTTGCTAGGTAGAAAACTCTCCCACTTGGGCCACACTCCAAGCCTTTTTTCTTTTTGTTTTTTCCTAATAAGAGTCTTCCTTTTGCCCAAGCCAGCCTGAGCCTCCATCTTTCCATCTACTCTCCCAGTGTAGCTGTGAAAACAGGCTTCCACAATGCCCAGGGATTATTGGTTGACGTGAGTGTGGTAGACCTCCTAGAAGGTAAAGATTGGGAAAATTAAAGTGACAAACTATCTTCTAGATTGTGACGAAAAATGATCAGTTTGCAATTACTTGCATACTTTGTAGGTTCTCGTAACAATTACATACTTAGTAATAGGTATCTGTCAAAAATACCACCAGTATGCTTAGTGTTTATATCCTTTATCTTCCAAAGCCAACATCACTTACAAAAAATCAAGTTCTCCCAATTGTTTCTTTTCATTACATAGCCAGGTTGCATATGATCACACCTGATGCCGTTCTCAAATTTATAGAATGGCTACACTTTAGGCAAGTTTCTGAAAATGAGATGTAGTTCATGAGAGGTTTACACTTCTTACTCGGAGCCCTACTCTTTACAGAGGCACAGTCTCAATCTGTAGCTCCTTTAGGGAGCGCTCAAGCAAACCTTCCACTTGGAAGCCGCTTGTTACTGACGGCTAGCTGCATTCTCAATTCTTCCCCTCCTCGAGCGAAGTTTTAAGCGTGCAACACGCCGGTCCTAACTTCAACCCGCAACGTTCACTTCCATCCTTCCACACCGTGGAGACATGACACAAATCAATGAACCAAGGCATCAACTTTGGGGACGTGTCAGAGGATCTGAACCGCTACCGTGGCCAGAGGAAGGGTAAGTCCTCCGCTCCTCCCCACGAGGTTTCGGAGGACCACGCCAGTGGGGCAGGGGCTGACGTTTCGGTGGCGGAACCGGATCCCCTCCCCAGCGGCCGGAGACTATCCGTGGCTCCGCAACTCCGGAGGACTTGGCGAGTTCAAGCCCGAGCCCTCGGCCCTCCCGACCCCCGCCGCTCGCAAGGTCACCTGTAGTTGTAGGAGTTGAAATGCTTGCTCTCTCTCAGCATTGCCCGGTACAGGTCTAATACTTGTGCGCGACTGGAGGCTGCCATTTTGGAAGGGGAGGGGGAGAGAGGGAGAAAGGAAACTAATCCTGAACCCAACCTCCAAAACAAAAACAAACGGGTCCTCTTTGCGTAGGTCCCGGGTTTAAGCCAATAGAAATTTCGACCTATTGCAAAACCACGCATGAAATGCAGCGAGGCAGTCTGGGCTTCCTGGCCTGGGGGTACCGGGCCTAGACGTCCCACAGCCACCGTCCGCTGACGGCGGGCTGCGGCCCTCCACGCTGGAGAGGCGGGAGCAGGCAGGGCCGCGGGCAGCTAAGCCAGCGCGGGGAGGCGCCCGCCCTCCCGCCCGCTCCACGGGGACGCCCCGGGCTCACGTGGGAAGCCTCAGCGGTGGCCTATCTGGGCCTTGGGGCGAATAGCCTCCGGTCGCCTCAGCCGGGGTGCCTCGCCCCTGGAGGATAAAGTTCTGAGCAGAGTACGGAAGGAAAACGAAAACAGCCCGGGGGGCGTGACGCGGACCTCGGTCCCGCTCGAAGGCCTGGACTGCGTTGCTGGGGTTACCGAGCGCGCGCCGCCACGACGCCCCGCCCCCGGCAGCTGTTTGCTGCCCTCAACACTGCCTGAAAAGCCGGGAACGCTGTGCAGGGAAGTTCACTTTCCTTGAGCCTCGTCGGCGAATTGAGGTTTTAAGTTGTTTTTTTCCTGGCTGTGGTGGCGGTGTGAGAGGCCGGGAAACGGCTTTCCGTGTCCCCCTTGAGTTGCGGCTTCGCTCAGGGCAGCCACATCAGGGACCTTTGGGCGCAGGACCCGCCGTCTGGCAAGATGGCTGCGCCCAGACTCCACGGGAAACTTGTGAAGTGACGGGCCGAGCTTCTTGTGGGTGCGGGCGAGCAAGCTTGCCGCGACTTAGAGCTTGCGAGAGCGCGAGTCTGGGCTTCGCAGGCGCGCAGGGGGTGAGTGCTGGCTTCGCTGCAGGTCGGGGCTGTGGGGCGGTGTTCATTGGACGGAAAGGCTCCCGTTTCCGGTGTGTGTCTCGGGCTGTGGCGCTTTCTCCTTCGCGGCCCGAGTGCCCAGAATGTCGTAGACGGGAATCCTGGGATGGAGACACCAGGATTTCGTGGGTAGCTTTTAGGGGTTCCGGGGCCCTTTGGGGCCTGCTCAGAAGTAAGGCAAGAAACTAATGGAATTTGCGTTTCCAGGCTGTTCTCAGAAGACTTCAACTTTTCCGATTCACCTGGTTAAAGTGGCAAAGATTCTTGTTCTGATTCTAGAGCTTCATAGAAGCGTCGTCTACTTTTCTATCCTGTGTTTGGAAGATGCTTCTGTTCTTTTTGGAATATTGCTTTATGCCATCCACATGGGGAAGAGCTATCACTTTGCATCGCAAAACGTATCAGGGAGTAATTTTATATGTAGATGCCAAATTGCATTTGGTGCTACTCATTTTTGATACGACATAGTTTTGCCTTTTACTGAAGCAGTTTCTTATTTTCAGAAACTTTAAGGGCACTTATCTGCCCTAACATACTTTGTGTACTTGCCATCTGATGTCCTTTCATCCAATTTCATGATGTGTAATGATGGTTGTGAAAGGTATTGGATGTATCTTTTATACAGAACGTTTAGAATCTACTATCAGATTTTTTTCAGGGACTTCTCCAACTTTTGAGTTTCAAAGTAGATAAAAGGGTAGCAAGAAGAATCAGTCTTGCTGTCAATTTTCTCGAGAAAAACAATATTTTGACACTCAAAATTTCTTGAAGGATCAAAAATCAAGGTAGTTGTAAATAGTTATATACAGTAAGATCCAGAGCTGTGGTCTCTTGAGTTTGATAATTGGAATTATGTGGCACCTGGTAATACCGTTTAATCCAAATTATAATTAGACAAAGCTATCAGAGGGAAAAGGAAAAATGAAAAGTTTTGGTTGGTTTAAAAGTAGTGCTAGTTACATTTCATTGTTTTTCTTATTTTATCTTGAAAAGTGTAATTAAGGTGATCACTGTAAACAAGTGTTTATGCCCAATTATAAAGGCATTTAGTCATTAACCTTTGCAAATAATGTAATTATATGATTTTACTTTGTCTTAGTCAAATACAATTTTCCGAATAAAAATACAAGTTTAAAATTGTTTGTGTAGCCTACTCATCTATTAGTGCAAGGAATGGGTCTGGTTAGGAAAGTGATAGCTGCCGTGTGTTAAAAATTGCAGGAGGCCATGATTTGGATTTGGTACCTGCAAGGGGTCCAGTAGGTTATACCAGTATAGAGTTTCATCATAGTAACTAAACACTGGTTAGTTGCAGGAGACCCTGTAACCAGTTCACTTTTTGACTGGCTGATTTAACACTTTTTCTATGTTCTGCTTAAATTTTTCTTTACATGTTGTCAGATCACAGTGTTGGTTAGAATTTTCAGAACATCATTTGGTTCTGAGTTGCCTGATTTTTAGGTAGTTTTATTTTTCTTAGCACAGATACACTGCTACCTTTATGTAGCCTAAGGAATTTCTCTTGTAGTAGCTGTTAATGCTAATCTGCCTTCAAAAAGTTACCTTACTTTATTTGAAGTGGTTTACCAGTGTGTTGGATAGCACTATCTTGAAAGACTAATAAAAAATACCATTCCAAGGCCAAATCACATTTTTTTCTGCATTTTATTGCAGAGGTGACTTTTTTTTTCTTTTAACCAATAACTGCATTTGAGATTTTGAGTAGAATTGGATTAGAAGCTGAGAATGGACCTTACGCAGATCTTTTCATATGCATTCTATTCTGGGCCAAAGTTTTTCTTAGAGGGTAAAACACAGGATACCTACTTAATATAATAGGTCTCAAAATTTCCTTAATATTCAATGTCTGTAGTTATGAATATTTAGTTATTTGTCTGTGCACAGTCAGATATTACCTTGTGTTAAAATTAGGATTATTTGTGAATACTTAATTCTTCATGAGGACATATTTTACTTAAAACAAACTCCACACAGCCATTTATTGTCCTTATTCTTAAATATCAAACTGTGTAAAGAAACTCTTGCATGGAAGAAGAAACTCATTACTTAGAAATTATTCTTTTCTATACATGGATCTAAATGTTAATTACAAGTGCTTTTCATTTGTTTCTTATTTGATCCTTCCTTTTTTTTTTTTTTTTTTTTTTGTTGCTAGTCCTGGGGCTTGAACTCAGGGTCTGGGTGTTGTCCCTGAGCTTTTTTGGCTCAAGGATAGCACTGTTGCCACAGCTATATTTCTGGTTTTTTTTTTTTTTTTTTTTTTGTAATTGAAGAATCTCACTGGTTTTCCTGCCCTGGCTGGCTTTGAACCATGATCCTCAGATGTCAGCCTCCTGAGTAGCTAGGATTACAGGCATGAGCCACCAGTGCCCAGCATTTGATCATTCATTTTAATAGAGTCTGAAACTGGATAGAGATCAAATCACTGATTTGTGCAGATAAGCAAACTAGAACTCCTTTTCCACGTCATTCTGTAACATTAATCCACTGATATGTGACTTATCTTATATAAGAAGACAACAGAGTTACACAGATGAGAGAACTGTAGGGGAGTAAATAAAATGGTACTTTATTTTTCAAAGGCATATTATTTCCAAATGCTAGAGGACAACAAAAGAAGGATGTTCTACTAGGACTAAGGGAAGATTTTCCATGATAGAATATAGTTTTACAGTGAGTAGTAAGAGATAGATAATGAATTTGGTAAATTAATAGATTACAGTTTCTGTTTATTGTATGAAAGCATCAAATAATACAATGCAATCTAATTAGACAACTCTCAAGTGAATTGGACGGAAGGAGGAGGGAAAGGCAGGACCACCAGAAAACAAAAGTGGTCAGTCCTGTATCAGCTTCATTTTTATGTTGGTTCCTTTCTTTGGAATAAGTTTTCCCCTATGCAGTAGATAAGACATAATGCAAGTCGAACTTAATATTTGACTTGTTAAATTGAGATTAGTTATCTGTATGTTGGTACCTTTATTTCCAACCACAATTTTGAATGCTTTATTTCAAGAATAGTGAAATTTTATTTGTACATCCATAGTTGGTGTGTGTGTGTGTGTGTGTGTGTGTTTGTGTGTGTGTGTGTGTGTGTGTGCGCGCGCACGCGCGCGCGCACATGAGTTTATAACCACATTGGTACTGGGGCTTAAACTCAGGGCCCCTCTCTCTCACTTGGCTCTTGTGTTCAGGGCTGGTACTCTACCACTTAATCCTACTTATATTTCCTCTATATCTATCTATTTAAAATGTAACTGTAAAATGTAATTCTAATCATTGACTTTGTGGTAACCTGAAAGCTGTATCAAACGTGAATCCTGTGTTCTAGGAAGTTGGAGTTTAAATGCATTTATATATATAATTACATATGGAAATGCTAGCACAAAGCTCTGCCCAGGAAGTGCTGGTTAGGTATTATGTGGTCTTGGTGCAAGAAGAGTTCATGTTCATACTTATTGCCTGGGAGAACCTAAAACAGCATGGATGTTTCAGTATTTCCTAGGTGACTAGATTCAGCTATGGTTGAGAACACTGATCTATGTGAATTAGGTGGCTTTAAGAAGAAATAGTGTGGAGCTGGGACGGTGGCTCAGTGGTAGAGCGCTTGCCTTGCATGCCTGAGGCCCTGGGTTCGAGTCCTCAGCACCACATAAGCAAAAAAGAAAAAAAGCCGAAAGTGGCGCTGTGGCTCAAGTGGTAGAGCATTAGCCTTGAGCTGAAGAGCTGAGGGACAGTGCCCAGGCCCAGAGTTCAAGCCCCACGACTGGACCCAAAAAAAAAAAGGAAGTAGTGTATGTTAAGTCAGAAGATTTAGGCTTGATCAGGGCTTGATCCTGAACTAGAAAGTGTCTGAGGATAAGAGGATCCTGTGGGAAGGTGATGAATCAGCACTCAAGAATGCAAGGCAGAAGCTGAGATATCTACCTAATGGTACCCATTTGTCAAAACTTGGAAGTAGGCAAGTATCATTGGCTTAGAATGTGATCTTTCTAGCTGTGCTTTTATTCTGCATCACAGAACTCTTCAGTGCCTGCTTCAAGAATTTGATGTAGTTCATTAATTTTTCTAGGATAAAATGAGTAACTTTTAGTCATACTTAATTTTTTTTTTTTTTTTGTCATGGGACTTGAACTCTGGGCCTGAAAGCTGTCCCTCAGCTCTTCAGCTCAAGGCTACTGCTCTACGACTTGAGCCACTGGGCCACTTCTGGTTTTCTGAGTGGTTTATTGGAGAAAGAGTCTCACAGAGTTTCCTGCCCAGGCTGGCTTTGAACTGTGATCCTCAGATCTCAGCCTCCTGAGTAGCTAGGATTACAGGCCTGAACCACTGGAGCCTGGCCATATTTGAATTTTAATTTAGTTGGATTCTCACTTGTAAAGTTAACTAGTTTGTATAAGAAATATAAATATTCAGAGACTCTCGAATGCTGGTATTTATACTAGCTTTTTAGTGTTTTAGGAAAAGTTTGCATTTTTTTCTACTAGTATCTTTTTGAAAAGATTTTGTGCCTTTTTTACATTGCCTCTATGTATGAAAAATATTTCCTCTTGGAGTTTTCTGAGTCTCATATTTCTGTAGGAGTTCTTTTCAGATAGATCTAAGAAATTCCATTCTCATTTTAGGGAAAACTTAAGCCTTGTTTTTTTTTGTTATATCTAGATATTTTGCCTCTGACTATAGTCTCCGACTTCTAGGCTGCAACAATACGTATTGATTTGGGTAAAGTATATCAAATGTCTTTAGTTCTACAGGATTAATTATTTATTTACTTTTAAAGAAGTTATTTTTCCTTTTAAGGAAAACCACAAGCCTTTACCAACATGGTAATTCTTTCAGGATGTGACTGATAATAATGTTCCCTTACAAATCACCTGCATTCTTTCTCTGTTAGTACATAATTATTACATTTTTGTGTCATATTTGTGAATGGTTTGTTA